GGGTTTCACAGGTGACCAATTCCTGTGAAATTGGTCACAACCTGAGTGGTGGAATTAGGACCAGGCCCAAGGAGTGGACCAGAATATGGATATTTCTGACTTTTCTCCCCATTTCCCCTCTTCTTTCTCTCACGGGTTCCTTTTCGGAAGCCTCCTTTGCTTACACACCTGCAGGTAAGACATCTCTGCCCCCGGGGTGGGGGAGGGGAGGGGTTCGGACCCCAGGTAGCCGCGCTTCTCACACTCTCCCCGTCGTCTTCCCCAGTGTCCTTCCCACACTCAGAGGGCCTGTCGGCAGCCAGTTCCAGGTAATTCTCTTAGCTCATCTCCCCAGGATGAGGCCACTCCCTTCGTCCCAGGCCCAGCTGCCTCCCGTGCTGACCTCCGCCCTCCTCTCACCGCCACACTCACCGTTACTGTCCTCCAGCTCCCATTACCCCTGCCTCCCTTACTTAGCTGGCCTCTTCAGGCTCTCTGTCCCCAGCGTTCACCTGCTGTCCCTCAGGCCACCAATGGGCCTCGGCCCTGCTCCTTACCCGTGGCTGGCAGACTCGTGGCCGCACTCATCTCGCAGCCCCTCGGCCCAGGAACCCAGGGGAAGCTGCTGCCCCAGCAATCCTGACCCAGACGACAGATATTACAATGGTGAGGAGTTCTGCTTCCCTCAGGGGTACACCAGGAGGCCCTGCACCCTCTCTCCTCCCGACCGGCTGGGGCAAACTGAAGGGGGCCAAGGGGTCCCAGTCTTGCTGAGGCTGCGTGATCCTTGGGAGGCTGTGAGTTGGGGGAGCCTCTCTCATGCCTTACCTTTACCCCGGATTGGGATAGGGGAAGAGGTGGCATCCCCTTGTGCCCTCCATTCTCCTGTTGTCCTCTATTTTTCTGTCTCTGCCCCGTCTCCTCCCCGGGCCTCCCTCTTTCTCCCCCTCAGAAGCAGGGATCTCCCTTTACCTGGCTCAGACGGCCCGGGGAGCTGCCGCCTCTGCTGAGGGTCCTGTCTACAGCACCATTGACCTGGCTGGCGAGGAGCTGCAGACCTTCCACGGGGGGTTCCCTCCACATCCCTCAGGGGAGCCAGGCGACTGGAGCCAGTATGCTCCTCCAGAATGGAGCCAGGGGGACAGTGGTAGGACTCCAGTTCCCAACACCCCCATTTTAGCCCTGAGCAGCATCTTCCCCAAAGAGTATCCTCCACCCTCCCTTCTGGGACCTAGCCCAGCACTCCTTTCTGACGCGCCTCACCTCTGCCTCTTTCCTGCCTGTATCTTGCTGTGGCCCCATCCTGCTCTCCTCAGGAGCCAGGGGGGGCAAAGTAAAGCTTCTGGGGAAACCTGTACAGATGCCCTCTCTCAACTGGCCAGAAGCGCTGCCACCCCCGCCCCCTTCCTGTGAACTGAGCTGCCTAGAGGGGCCTGAGGAGGAGCTGGAGGGCCGGTAAGGATGCGCCTCGCCTGCAGATGCCCTGTACACGTGGGACCAGCCCAGGGCCTCCTGTCGGCGGAGGGCAAAGATGCTGGGAGAAGAAGGGAAGGGGGCAGCGGAAGGCCAAAGGGAGGGTATGAAGCTACTCAGTCACCCCGCCCTCCTGCCTCTTTGCCCCCAGCTCAGAGCCGGAAGAGTGGGGCCCACCAGTGCCCGAGAGGAGCCACGTGGCAGAGCCCAGCACGAGCGGGGGGTGCTTGGTCCCTCCGTCCCGAGGGGAAACCCCCTCTCCCACACCTTCCTATGGACAGCAGTCCACAGCCACTCTTACCCCCTCACCTCCTGACCCTCCCCAGCCCCCCACTGACATTCCCCATCTCCACCAGACGCCCAGGTAGGGAGGTGTATAGTACCTTGCATGTTACAGGCCCTCCGTACATATCTATTCAGTGGGTGAATGGGTGGGTGACCAGATGGATGGATGAATCTGGGGCCCAGAGGTCTCATGGCTGTATCAGGGTGCAAGTGTAATTTGGGGAGAAATGTGGAGGCTGGCAAGGTCTCTCACTCCCGACACTCATTGGAGGGACTCTGCAAGCTTCCTGGGGCATTTCAAAGCTGGCTTTCCTCGTATTCCACGAGCATGGGAGCCTTGCGGAGGGCGAGCTGTGTCTTACTCATCTGAGTGTTGGGTTGATTGTTTAGCATGGTGCCTGGCACACGATAGGCACTCGCTGTCTGTTGAGCGAACAAATGAAGCCTCATGTCATTGCAGGAGGGCGCCCCTTGGGCCAAGTTCCCCTCTCAGTGTATCCCAGCCCACGCTGAGTAGCCGTGAAGGGAGGCCTGCTGGCCTGGGTGCTGACCCCACGGCCCTCCATCACAGCCCCAGCGCTGCCGCTAGTACAGCCAGCAGTGCCCCAGGTGAGTCTGTAGACCCCTCAACTGGCCTCCACCTCCCCACCTCCCGGAAGCTTGTTTCCCCTTCACCCTCAAGCCCCTTTCTTTTTTTTTTTTTTTTAAATAACTTTATTTATTTATTTATTTTTGGCTGCATTGGGTCTTTGTTGCTGTGCGTGGGCTTTCTATAGTTGTGGCGAGTGGGGGCTACTCTTCGTTGCGGTGTGCGGGGTTCTCATTGCAGTGGCTTCTCTTGTGGAGCATGGGCTCTAGGCGCGCGGACTTGTGGCGCACGGGCTCAATTGCTCCGTGGCCTGTGGGATCTTCCCAGACCAGGGCTCGAACCCGTGTCCCCTGCATTGGCAGGTGGATTCTCACCCACTGCGCCACCAGGGAAGCCCCTAAGCCCCTTTCTTGATCCACTCTCTTACCCGCTCCTACCCCCATCTCCCAATGCCACAGGGAGAACCCGGCAGGCGCCTGGGGAGATGACTCCTCCACTTCACGGGCCCTGTGCCCGAATCCGGAAGAAACCCAAGGCTCTTCCCTACCGGCGGGAGCACAGTCCTGGGGGTGAGGGGGCCGTGAGCCTGGGAGGTGGTGACAGTAGGGGAAGCAGGCAGATAACCAAGGTTGAGCTCTGCGGGTTGGAGGAGGGAGCGAGTGGACCCAAACCTTGGGCTGTTCGTTCAGCGCCCTCTGACGCCGGGGAGTGGGAGTGGGAGAAAGGCCCGTATAGGGAGAAGCAGGAGAGCGCTGAAAACAGGTCTCTCCCCAGACTTGCCGCCCCCTCCCTTGCCGCCACCGGAGGAAGAGGCAAGCTGGGCCCTGGGGCTGAGGGTGGCAGGCAGCATGTCCTCCTTGGAACGGGAGCGGGAACACAGTGGGGAGAGGAGAGTGGCGCAGGCCGGGCCCCTGGGGGCCTGGCGGGGCCCGCACCTGGATGGTAAGGAGGGCCCCTGCTGCACAAGAGGGTGGGCGCTGCGACTGGAGCCTAACAGGGTGGTACGGACCGTGCCACTGATGCACTCATTTTCAACCCAGCTCACCCCTGACCTCCAGCTGGGAGGAGGTCAACATTTGCTCAACATCAAAGACACTTGTCTCTCCAGCTCTCTTTGAGCAAAATCCCCTTAAGTTCCCAAGTTGTATCTGTTCCCAGGACTGAAGCCCAGAGGAGAAAAGAGAGGGGGGCCGGGCGCTCTGTCCCTCCTTTCCCAAGGCCCTCTGAGTGGGAGTTCCCCACGGGTTTCTGAGCACGTGTTATGTAAAGGCCATGGGCTGTGTGCTCTGCTTCTCCTCAGCCCCCAGGATGGTCTGCCCTCAACTCTGCTTCCAGAGCTGGGATGGCGGTTAGGGGGGCACGGGGGCAAGCAGCGATGTTCTCCCCCTGCCTGGGCCCAAATGCCCCTCTGTCTCGTGCTGCAGAAGAGGCCTGGCTCCCCTACAGCCGACCAAGCTTCCTGTCCCGGGGCCAGGGCACCAGCACCTGTTCCACAGCCGGCAGCAACTCTTCGAGAGGCTCCGGCAGCTCTCGGGGCTCCCGGGGCCCTGGCCGGAGCCGGAGCCGGAGCCAGAGCCGGAGCTAGAGCCAAAGGCCAGGACAGAAGCGTGGAGAGGTAGGGGCTGGGGATGGCAAAAAATGAGAGTGGAGGGCTGGGGAGCATGGGCCACGGGATGATTAAAACTAGGAAGGCAGAGAGGTCCTCTGGGGGAAGTGTCAAAAGGAAGGGACCCCGTGAGTAAGGAGGAAGAGAGGACTCCTGGAGCACAGGTGAGGTGAAAAAGGATGAAGACAGATGACATAACCGAGGGGCCAGGCTCTGTAGGAGAGCTGGATCGGGAGAGAGGCTGACCAGAAATGAGGTGCATCCCCACTGGGTCCTGTTTGTCCCGACCAGCGCCTTGCAAACCAGCCTCTCTCTCCATCTCTCTCTCTCTCTCTCTCTCTCTCTCTCTCTCTCTCTCTGTCTGTCTCTAGGAACCAAGATGACCTTTGATGAACTACCAGAAATTCCATGGGGAAGGGCGTGTCCCTGGGCCAGGAGCCTGAGCAAGAGCCCCTCCCCTTGGTGAATGAGGGCTGAGCGGAGAGGAGCAGGGAGGAGTCTCTTCCCTCTCAGCAATGATGCATGGGGCTCCCTGAGAAATTGGCCTAGAAGCCAGGAGCCAGCTCTTCCCTTGCCATCTGGGACCCATTCATAAAAAACACAATAAAAATAGTCTGATCAGAGCCCTGGGCCCTGTTTGTCTGGTTTTGTGCAGGATGTGGGGAGGAAGGGGGCTGCGAGCGTGTGTGTATCATTTGAGCTTCTTCGGCTGAAAGCACTAGGGGAGGGCAGGGCTAAGAGATGCCACCTGTTTTGCCTCCAGAAGGAGCTGAAGCCACCGTCTTCCCAGTTACAACCAGAAGGACTTTCCGAATAACCAACGGCGAGAATCTTGTCCCGCCTTCCCAGAGCGGAGCCAGGCCCTCCCTTGGTGCCCTCCTCCCCTATCAGGAAATATACCCCTTACAATAACAGTAATTTTTAAAAACTCAAAGAAAGGAGGAGCTGATGGGGGAAATCCCAGCCAAGAAGGAAAAACAGGCTTTTGCAGACAACCACCCACAACCCCTCACAAAGGGTGTGTGTAGATGGGCACCTCTTAGCCAGATTAGGCCCAGATGTAGTTGGTTAGACTGGCAGAGAATTTCTTTTTAATTTTGGCCACGAACGCCATTGTCCCCATCACTCCCGAACCCACAGCCCACACCACTCACTGGGCACTGAGGTCTGTTTCCTTCTCACTTGCCCAGTGACTGCTCCGGGCTCTCAGGGGATGGCCGCTGACCCCCCAGTCCCAGGCTCTGACCTCTCCTGCCACTTTGACCTAAGTGTGTACAAATCCCTTTTTTCTCATTTCGTCTGGCAAATGAGGTTGGCATGTTTTCAAAAGGAATTTTACCAGGAAGCTAAAAGAAAAATAAAATCCAAAAAAGGAAAAGCAAATAAAGAGGAACGGATGTGTATCCAGAGCACTGACTCCTCATCCTGAGGTCACGACCCTGGGCATGCTCAGTAGCAACCGCCCAGCATGTGGCTTCTGCCCCTGACCTTTCCCACCAAGCGAGAAGGATGCGGCCCTGCCTGCCCTCCAGTGGTTTTCTGTGGTTCAGGCTCTGGAAGTCCTGCCCCTCCATTCCTCTGTTCTGTTTTCTGTCTGAAGGGTGCCCACTGGCCAGCCCTTACAGGTGGTTCTACCTTTTGTGAAACTTAGCTACTTTGTCTATTTTAAGAAACCATCTGGGACTGATCTTTGGGGAGGGCAGCTGGGACCCCTGAAAGCAGGAGTTGTCTTCACAGGACAAGTTGCTAAGACCAGCAGACCCCGAAAATCCCCCACCCCTCCCTTTCCTGCATTCTGCTTAAAGTCTGAAAGATGTAGGTAATTCCCCCCTTCATAACAGAACAGAAAGGAGTGACACCCAGAGTGTCAGTGAACCCTTGATCCCTTTCTAACCCAGGAGCCCTCCTGAGGGTGGTGCTCCACCGAGAGGTCTCGTGATGGTGGCCCGCAGAGTGACCTCACAGAACTCAAGTCATCGTAGCTTTATGGTATCAGATTCCTTAAGCTTATAGTGACAAGAGTATGAGGAGGGTGTATTTGTCCCACGTTGGTCACTCCTCCTTCATCTTCCTCCCTAGACTCGTCCTTTGTCTTGGTGCTGAGATAGGGCCTCACTGCCTCAATGGAGTCTCTCTTTATGTCCCTTCGTGGTGTGTTTGGGGAGAGAGTTAGGAATCGTCCAGAAAAGGCAGAGAGGGGAGGCCCTGAGATGAGAAGCTCCTTCCTCCACAGCCCTCTCCCATGAGCCACTGTTGTCCTCCAGGCAGACATTTGGCCCCTCCACTTCCCGTGATCCAAGTGGGTGGGGAGATCAGGATTTAGGGCTGCTTCTTAGGCTCAAATGACGTGGCTGTGGACGCGGATGAAGCAGTGGGAAAAGCAAGGGCTGGGAGTCAGGTGGAGATGATTTTTTCCCCCGGGGGCTTCAGGTCCGCTTTGTTCATATTTTGTTTTGCTTTCGTTTGTTTTCACAATCCGGGACGGAGAACTCTGGAGGCTGGGAGAGGTGGACCCCGACTGCAGAGATGCAGAGATCAAGACCCATAGTCCACAGCCCAGACTGGCGGCTGACAGGGGAGACGGTTCTGATTCTCCTCTTGGCAGTCTCGGGATCAGTTCACGAGGAGTCTGTAGGAGAAGTTGAAGGAGGATGGATTTATCCCCCAGCTCCTTAGCTCTCCTGCCAGACCCCAGGTGTCCTCTTGGACCCCATCCCACTGCCAAGAACCCCTGCAGTCAAGATCGCCACATCAGCTAGCCAGCCAGACGCTTACCGCCGGCCTTGGGCGCAGGACAGCTGACATGACTTCTCTGGGACGAGATCCGAGAGGTGGAGGGCCAGGGAGGCAGCCCCCTTCCCAGCCACTGGGTGTGGTTTTTCTCCATGTCCTCCAACCAGTCTGACCTCCACTCCCACGGGGGCAGGGAGAGGGCGGAGTTCAGGAAGAGGTCATCCCGGGGGGAGGGAGGTGACAAAGCATCTGTCAGGGAGGGCAGAGGTATCTGTGGATGGTTGTCCTTCACCCTTATGGACCAGTTTAGGGCAGAAGGCTTGGGGCTGCTTAAGGCATACACCCAACCCTAGACATAACCCAGCCCCACTCGGTCCATCACCCCCAGTGGCCACATCCACAGGAGCCTCCGCCCCAGGGAAAGGAAGATGTCCACTGGTTTCTTCAGAGAACAGCTTGAGCTCTTTTGTCCTAGCCCAGCCCTGGCCTTCTGTCCTAGGTAATCCTTGCTCTCCTATCTACTACAAGCCTGACTGCTTTTTGGGGGGGGGGGGGGGCAAAATGTAGAGTTAGGGTTCGTAAGATGGGTCTAGGGGATCTAATAGAGTGTCTGAGGAAGGGCACTCCAAAGGGCCATGGGGAGCCCTGACTACCTTCTGTTGACTTGGGGATGATCGTCCCACCTGCTAGACACGTGAAACAGGCCGCCCAGTCACTTCCCACCCTGCCACACACAGGACAGGAAGAAGGCCTTGAAAGCACAGGGGGACGCATGCGAGAAAACAGACCTTCCCACAGTGGGGACGAATCTGAGTCACTGGGCTGGGGAGCAACGTTTCCTGGAGACCCACATCTGGTAAGAGGGTCCTGGAGGTAGCAGAATGGACTGTACAATCGGCTGCCTCTGGGATTTTAACTTGAACAATTTATCCTGTTCTGGCAGGTGACCTTGAGCAAGCTGATAAAGCTGTTGGACTTACAGTTTCTTCATTTGGAAAAGAACGACAAAGAATATTCTTCAGAGAGTTGCTGTTAATGTTGAGTGTATGTAAAGCACATATCATAGTGCCTGGGACATAGTCATCCCTCAATAAAAACTAGCTGTTTGGGCTTCCCTGGTGGCGCAGTGGTTGAGAGTCCGCCTGGCAGGGGACGCGGGTTCGTGCCCCGGTCCGGGAAGATCCCACATGCTGCGGAGCGGCTGGGCCCGTGAGCCATGGCCGCTGCGCCTGCGCATCTGGAGCCTGTGCTCCGCAACGGGAGAGGCCACAACAGTGAGAGGCCCGCGTACGGCAAAAAGAAAACCAACTAGCTGTTTTAGGATGCTTTGCCTCTTGGTGGGGGAGAAGCTGTGTCCGCTCCAGGCGGTGGGGATGAGGAGGAAGACAGGGATCTCACGTACCTGTGAAGACGCAGTCTGCCTCCCTGGGCTCCAGCCCAAAGCCAAAGCTGTCCGCAGCCACGGCCAGGGCCCGGGCAAAGTGGGCGTCGGCGAGGAAGGAGCCGTCGGAGGAGCTGACCAGGCTGGCTCTGGCGCTGGGGGCGTTGTCCTCAGAGGCTGAGCCCCAGCCATTGGCCAAGGAGCCCTCGCTGGGGGTGGGTGTGGGGCAGGGCCGAGGTGGGCACAGCAAGCCCCTCACCTCGGACCCCACCCCCGCTCCAGGCCTGCCCATGTCCGCTAGCTCCGAGGCCGTCGGGACGCTGATGTAGCCATAGGTGATGGGGGGTGAAGGAGCCCTTGGCATTGGAGAGACACTGTTCCTAGGAAGAGGCAAAACGGGGAATGGGACGCGGTCGGGGTGGGGGGCGGGGCGTGGAGTGGCAGAAACAGCCCCGTTGAGGAGGGTGGAGGCAGCAGACCTAGGCATACTCCTGTCTCACGCTCCTATCTGTATCCTTTGGTTCCCCCTCTGGCCACTCACCTGGGGGTCTCCTCACCCTCACTGAGCTCCAGGCACAGGGCCACCTCCTCAGGGGTCAGCACACTGTCTTGATCCTCCCCCAGGGATGACAATGATGAGCTGGACAGGCGACTGGATGCTGGGCTGGGACCAGAGAGGGAAGAGGCCTGGGGACTGGAGGGGCTGGGGGGACCGGAAGGGATAAAGGCGGGGACGGGGGCTGCTGGCAGTGGGTGGCAGGAGGGGGCTTGGGGCTCCACCGATTGCCTGATTGGGGTAAGATGGCAGAATGGTTAGTGTCGTCCTTCTGGCCCCTGCCACCCCTCCCCCAGCCCCATCCACGGTCAGCAGACACCCCACACCCCCAGTGCCCAGCCCTGCGTCCTGACCCCATGCCCTCTTACTGGGTCTGTTGACTCTGAGTGCGGGGTCCACGAGGAGGGAGGGGTGCTGCGGGGAGAGGGTGAGTCACCAGCTCACTGGGGGAGCCGAGGAGCTGTGGTCCCAGGGCCCGCCAGGCAACCAGGGCCCAGGGCACAGCTCCTGGGGAACGACAGGCTGGGCGTGAGATAGCAGAACCCCCGTCAGCCCCGGGCCCCAGTTTGCCTGTCTATCCAGCCCCTCAGAGTCCTGTCTGCACCCAGCCAGCCTCCACAGGGACAGGAGAAGCCCCACACCCTGCCTCAGCCCCTCACCTGCCTCGTAGCGCCCTCCTCTCACCTGGGCTTTGGGAAAGGTTCTTGGAGCCTCTGTTGCCCAACTCACAGGCCCAGAGCTCCACAGGGTGGCTGGCCCGGAGCAGCGGGGAGCTGTTGGCCTGGTGCAGCTCTGCAAAGCAAAGAGTCGGTGGCTGGAGGCCAAGCCTGGGTGTGCCTTGCAGACCTCAACCACAGGCTCTAGCTTCAGCTTCGTCATCCAGTTAAGCTTTAGGGTTCTTGAACCCAGAGGGAAGAGGGAAGAACCTCTCTCCATCCAGGCAGCTGTGATATAATGGAAGGAGCACTAAGCTTGGAGTCAAAACACCTGCACACGTAGCCTGGCTCAGCCACGTATTAGCTGTGTGACCTCAGGTAAATCCGTTAACCTTCCTGAGCCTGTTTCATTTGTAAACAACCACTGCAAAGCATGGTTTGTCCAGTTAACTAAAAACAGATTGGAAAGTTCCGGCACCTAATAGATCTATTAAAAAACAACTGTATTTCTCTTTACTGTACACATTCCAATTTCCTGATCTCTATACCCTCACATTGCTACCTACGTTCATGAATTTTGCCTCCGTGAAGGCAAATACTCCTTCTTTTCTTGGAGAGAATCTGCTAATTTCCACTTCTCACATCGCAAATATCTCACATGGCTCTGGATAGCCTTGCCCTGATAAACCCAAGTGTCTCTCACTTGGAGAGATGGGTTGGGCTGTCAAGTTGAGCTGAATGAGGAAGACAAAACCAGGGAGCTCCAGACCATGTTAGGTGTGAAGGGAGAGAGTCAGCTGATGGGAAGAGGAACTTGAAAACAGGAAGATGTGTTGATCTCACCCAGGGAGGCAATGCTCTGCCCGTGGATATTCAGTACGTGTTGAATGAATGAGTGAATGGATGGATGATATCAGAGATGCAGGTTTAAACACAAGGTGAGAAGAATCATGTACAAGACGGCAGCTATCATCAGGCCCATGCGGCCACTCAGGAGACAGGGCTCTGCGTGAACTGTGACAATACAGAAGACCCGGCTGTGTGCAATGACTTGGTCAGGCCAAAACCAAAATGGATCTCAGTTTAAACCAGAGAGGAGCAGAATAAAAAAGGGAAAAGGATTTTCCCAAGACCAGGAACAGGAGAACATCAAGCAAAGGAGAAAGGAAACAGCCTTCAGGTTAGTGTCACATGATCAGAAGCCCAGTTAGGAAAGGGGACCGGAGACCAGGCAGGACTCTCAAGACAGAGCTGTCTAGTCAGTCCGATTTCAAAGATCTGGGGCAGGTTCAGAGCAGGGACAAGGCATTCGTCAAGAATCCAACTGGACCCTAGGAATCCATGTACAGCAGCCAGACCTTCTGAGCCACTGGGATGAAAAGCCATACAATGGCTAGACTTCCTCCATCAAAGTTTCCTTTTGTAGTTTGGCTGGTTTGGTTTTTACTCATTTCCTTTAATTGTCATATGACCCAGGGAGTCCTGGAGGCCACCTTTGGGTGCTCCAACCCTGCTCTCATCACCTCTGTCTTGTCCTGTGCCTGGCTTCTTGACTAAGCTCAGAAATGGGGGTACCTGTTGTTTATGTTGGTTTGTGTGGAAAGGGAAGGAAAAAGGCCATGCTCATCCCTGCTCCTATCATTTCCTCTAAAGGATTCTGGTAACAAAAAAATCCTCCTTCCACCTTGCTTGGAATTACTTGAATTTAGTTTCAATATTATTTGAGTCAAACTATACAGTAAACATGTTATCAGGGTTAGGTGGAATCTTGTTGGGCACACCTGAATTGTGATAAATATTTGTTTGAATTAATTATTTAATGAGGCTAGTCAATGTATTGATGATATGTATCCGCAAAGTGAACTGAGAATAAGATATAATGGATTAGACACGGGAGACAGCAGTTGTGAGATTATTAGTCACAGAGGAAAAAACCCAACTAAGGTCAGATAATAAGAAAAAGGGGACTTCCCTGGTGGCACAGTGGTTGAGAATCCACCTCAGGGCACACGGGTTCGATCCCTGGTTTGGGAAGATCCAACATGTCGCGGAGCAACTAAGCCTGTGCGTCACAACAACTTAGCCTGCGCTCTAGAGCCCGTGAGTCACAACTACTGAGCCCGCGTGCCACAACTACTGAAGCCCGCGTGCCTAGAGCCCATGCTCTGCGACAAGAGAAGCCACCGCAATGAGAAGCCCGAGTACCGCAACGAAGAGTAACCCCCGCTTGCTGCAACTAGAGAAAGCCCGGGCGCAGCAACGAAGACCCAATGCAGCCACAAATAAATAAATAGATTTAAAAAAAAAAGAAAAGAAAAAAGAATAAGCAAGTCAAGGGGGTAGAGGACACTGAGAGAGCCTGCCAGTTTTAGAAGACAAGGAATCAGCAGTCTTTCGGACCAGCTGACAGCAGTAGAGGAGCTCCATGCCTCTGAGATCTTGCTGCCACTGCAAAGAGCCAGAGGTAGGCCAAGTGTCCACCAGCCCAGGGGAGTCACTGTTCTCAGCCCATCCTGGGCAGTGGTGGGGTGGGGCCGGGTGAGGAGAAAAGGGGTGCAGTGAGGACCTAGATCTCTGAGTGAGGTTAGGAAGCTTCATCTCAGAATTGGAACCTTCTTAAGAATTGAGTGTAGAAAATTGCTCACCTTTTGTGGGGTAGTATTAATGTTCTCAGACAGGGTATACGTTATATTCAAATTAGTGTGGTTATCCACGGAAAAGCTAGTTTTTAAATGAGACTTCTGCAACCTCTTTTTAGCTGGTATTTCATTATCACAGATGATTATTTCTAATGCAATAGCTCTGAGGCAAAGCTGGAAAGGACGCCAGCTTGGCTAATATTTAGAGTCATAAAATTCCGGATATTGGACAAGCTCTTAATTACTCTGAATCCATCTTTGTCTTAATAAAAGTTGGATTATATCCACTTAACAAAACTGGCTGTTGAACATTTGTAAATCTTACTAATCAGTACAGGAGGCTCAGGAAGACAGCAGAGAGAGTGCAGACAATGAATGTTCAGAAACAGGAGAAAAGAGTCAGGGAGAGAACAGAATTGCCCAGGGGCGCCTCCAGAGAGATTCCGAGTAGCCTTTGGAAGCAGACCATTCTGGCTTCAAATCTGAGAACTGCAGCTTATGGACATGGAGTTTTGAACAAGTTACCCAATTCTGACCCTCTTTCCCAATCTTGTAAAATTAGAGAAATAGCACCTAGCCGATATGTTGTGAGGATTAAATGAAATAACAAATGTAAGTAAAGCACCTCCCATAGAGTAGTTGCTAAAGAAACAGAGATTATAATTACTTCTCTCTAGAAAGTCAAAGCAGGTAGCCAGAAGTCAGGAGAAAACTCTGGACAGAAAGGAAATACTCATTCTCTGGGAAGCCAGCTGGAGGTGGGTACCTGGGCAGACCCGTATATCGTGCACGTACATAGTACATACGGACACAGTGCGTAGTAGAGAGGTCATGAGTGCCTGAGGCTTTGGGCTAGCACTGGTTACACCCCTCCAGGTTCTAGAATTATCTGTGTGCTGGTCAGGCACTTTCATTAGACTTTGAGCTCGTAAAGAGCAAGGATTATATCTGGTGTTTCTGTGTCCCCCGTCTGGCATACAGTGGTGCTTATTAAATGTTTGCTGAGTTGAGCTGGCTGCAGCAACAAGGCTCACTACTGGTGTGGCAAAACCCAAGCAAGATCATGGTGTAAAGAAAAGCTAAGGCCAGCACACTCCGGGCTGGGTGCGTGGCGATAGGCGTCCATCAGGACAGGCTGCGAGTGGGGTGCATCCCACACCCGGCGTCGAGGCCACCCCATGCTCTCTCCTGTCCCCCCTACCACCTGAGTCAGGCTGTCCATCCCCCCATCCTTACCCTGCTTTTTTTTGGCCTTCCAAGCCTCTGCAGGGGCCAGAGACAAGCGCGGAGAAGAGAGGCCCCTGCGGCCGCAGAGGCTGTCTGAACTGGCCCAGGGACTGGAGAGCCTGGCCAGCTGGGGTGTGAGCCGCCTGGCAGCTGGGGCCTGGGGACTTGGCCGGGCTGGGGGGCTGGAAGGCAGCTCATTGATGAGGGAGCCATAAAAAGTCCTGGTGTCGGGAAGCAGGGGCACACCAGGGCTTCGGGGATCCCAGGAGATCACTGCAATAAAAACGACAGGAGGAATTATGGTGAACGCATCCCACCCATGCCCCCCCCTTCTCCAGCCCCGGGACCCCTGCTCCACTGCCAGGCCCACCCCACCCCCTCGGGACATGCTTACAGGAGCGACGACTGTCTAGTGGGTCCCGGGGGTCCATTCCCAGTCGGCTGCTGAGACTGCTGCTGCTGCTGAGGTCCCGAGAGCCAGACGTGGAGCGCCAAGTGTCTGCCAGCCACGGCGAGTCACTGTGATCCATCCTGGGCAATGGAGGGTGGGGTGGAGGGAGAACAAGATTGGCCCAAACCTCCAACTTAGCGGGCAGCAGAAGGGCGGGGGGTGTTCTTCTCACTGCTCTTCAGCCCCTCACAGCCTCCTTAAGATCTCTGATCTGCTGTCCCAAACTCAGCGCCGCTTTCTTATCCTGGGATCAGGGGAAGTCCAAGTTGCCCAGAGCTAGGAGGTATCAAAGAGAGATAGCTACGGGCTGAGACAGAAAGAACACAGACCTGGAGCCAGATCTGCTGCAGCCTTAGCTGTGCAACCCTGGGCCACTCAGTCTATTAGCCTCTGTAAGCCCCCGTTTCTCCATCTGTAAGATGGCAACAGTAAGGCCTTCCTTACAAGGCTGATGCTGTAAGTTGAGACGAAGAAATGTGAGATGACTCAGCCAGCAGAGCAGGAGTTTGCTACCTGAAGGTTGGCTTCTCTACCTCTAGCCTGGTTCCCTTTGAATGGGACACCATGTGGCAGGGATCTACTTTTCTGCCTAAAACCTTCAGTGGCTCCCCATTTACCAAGATAGAGCCCAGCTGCCTAGCATGGCTAACAGGGCCCTCGTTGGTCTGGCTTCCAGCTCCTCAGTCTGTGCTCTGACCCATCCCACACAGTACGCCCCAGCCAGACCAAAAGGCTTGTCTTTCCCTATGAATGCAACAGGCTATTTCTTGCTGTTCCCTTTGCCCTTCCCCTTCTAACTGCCAGGGTAAATGTGAAATCTTCTTCCTCCCATAGTTCCCCTCCAGCCCCTTCCTTGTACTTGTACATGTTTCTGCACCCCCAATTCTGGATTGCATTTGTGCTTGCGTGGCTGTCTCTGCTAGACGGAAGCTGTTCTAAAGGAATGAATCAACAAAGTGATCAGAGTGGAATCTCCCTCAAGGAGAAGGGATGAAATCCCAGGGGAGCCAGAGAAAGTTCGGGGCAGAGCAGACTAAGCCCAGGAGGTAGCTGGAAGGGAAAGACCAATGAGCACAGAACAACGCAGGAACACAGCACCAGCCAGCACAGAACCTTGCTCTGGGCCGAGAAACTGACAGCAAAATGGTAGAGCTGGATGTGTCTCACATAGTAGGTGCTTGATAAATTCCTGTTGAAAGATGCAGACCTGGAATGTGAACTCTCCCAGAGGGGATCTAATGAGATAAAGAGCAGGAGAAGGTGGGCAGAGATGAAATGGTTGTTCAGTGTAAAATTCAGCCAGTAGGAGAAAAAAGGATGTTTTCTCTTTTAGTGTCGTGTCTCATAATGGGAGACTTGCTCTGGCAGCCAAACGCGCTTGGAGCAGATGTACCTGCAGGCGGGCTCCGTTGCTGAGAACAAGGAGTAAGAATCCATCACGCAAGGGCAGAGCGCCCTCTGCTGGAACTGTGGGTGGATTATTGCGAAGGAAAGATGCCTCCGTGGGTAGGTGATTTCCTGTAGCCAAAGGGACTACTAGGGAGATGCTGAGTGTACAGAGCAAATTAGAAATCAGACTGGTCCTCCTGTGCTAGTTATTCTCCACCTAGCAGCACGAGTCAGCAGGAGAGTGCAGTCAGTATTAATGAGAGCTTGGTAACAAGAGCACTGGATTAGGAATTCAGAAGGCAGCTACTAGCTGTGCAGCCTTGGGCAGTCACTTGAGTCATGAGTCTTCAGTTTACTCACCTTGTCAAGTGGTGTGATAGGAACATTAATGAAAGAGAAATTTAATTCTCACTTGAAGTTCAAGGGAAATTCAGGTACTAGGATGCCAAATTGCCTGGCAGTAGGGGAGACTAGTACTCCGGCCAGTTCTCCATCCCAGCTCCACTGTCCCTCGGCCCCTCGGCCCCGCCCTCGCCTCAGGCCCTTTCGTCTCTCACCTGTGTTTTAGGATGGCGTCCTCACTGGTATGTCTGTACAGACCTGGGAGAGGGCAGGAGGAAGGGTCAGCCCAGAGTCTCCAGCACCTGGCTAGCGGTCTAAACCCCTGTAGCGTTCTGGCTGGACCCAGGGAAGGCCTGATCACCTGGGAGTCCACTTCACCTTCTCACCTGGGCCCAGGTGCACCCCAGCTCGGCGCCGGCGGTGGATGCACACGGCGGTGCCCAGCAGCAGCAACCAGAGCACAACACCCCCGCTGGCAATGACCTCTGGCCGCCTGAAGGCCGCCCTCAGCTGCTCCAGGGTCCACGGGCCGTGCGCACTGGGCTCCTGGAGAGCTTGCTCCACGGCCTGCTCTGTATGGGAATTTGAGCTCAGGGGGAGGGGGCAGCTGAGGGGGAGGAGCCGGAAGCGAGAGCCGGGAGAGAGGAAGGCGGAGATGGGGCCTGAATGGGTCGGGGTGGGGCCGGTGGGCACTGTCCTCACCTAAAAAGAGGCAGACAGGGCTGCTGGGCTGCCCAGCCCCAGCCCCAGTGACTGCGGCCACTTGTACGCAGTAGGAACCTGGCACGCGGGTGGCGATCTCCAGCCGGGTCTGCTCGCCCGCCACCGTCCAGTTGGCCGGGGGGAACGAGGTGTTGCCCAGGCTCCAGACCTGAGGCGCAAACAGAGGGGAGCTCGCCCCCTGGCACCATCCCAGCAGCTCAGCCCTTCCTCTTGCGGATCAGACTCCGGGCGTGTGGCCACCCTGTCCTGCCGTTCACCTGGGGACGCCCCCCGCATGCACCCACACGTCCTATTTCCTCCTCCCCCCACAGAGTGGGAGACACTTCTTTCTAGACCGACAGACGAGGGACAAAAGTAATCGGCGAAATAGGCGTTAGACCCGTGGTTCGCAAACGCCAGCGTGCTTCAGGGTCACCTGGAGGATTTGTTAAAATCCAGATTGCCGGGTCCATCCCCGACTTTCTGATTCACAAGGCCTGGCAAAGGACCTAAGGATTTGCGTTCTAACAAGTTCTCAGGTGATGCTGACGTTGCTGGTCCAGGAACCACCCTCTGACACCACTGCCTTAGAAGCTGAGAGTCAGACACGGCCTGGTTTGATTCCTGTTCTGTTTCCCGCACCTGTGAGCTTAGCCTCACTTTCTACGTCCATACACGGGACAATAACCCAGGGCGGACTATGGGATGAAATGAGATTCTAAGTAAGTGCTCGGCAGTGTCTGACAGACAGTAGGGTCCTTGCCCAACAACAGTAAGTTTCCCTTGCTTCTCTGCCCAAGTACCATTTCTTAGTGCCCAGAGCAAGTGTCTACAGGACGCCAGGGAAGAGGGATCTCCTGGCACCACTAGGAAGGGGTGTGTCAGTTTGTGGAGGGTACCTGGTAGCCACGGATGATGCCATTGTGGTTTTCAGCAGGTGGTGGGACCCAGCTCACGAGGACACTGCCGTTGCCAGGTTTTAGGGTCACCTCCTGGGGAGGGGCACTGGGCACTGGGGAGGGGGGAGGGAGAGAGGCTGTAAGGGATGCTGAGGGAGAAGGCTCTAGGGAAAGGAGCTGGAATGGGACACAGGGTCAGAGCCACACTGGTGAGACTAAGAGCCTTTCTCAGCTCTGCTTGCTGGGCCAGGGCAGGAGGGAGCCCAGGGGTGGGACCCACCATCCGCCCGGCTAGAGTGGGACAAAAAGGGGCTGGGGGTATATTGTTGGGTCTGGGGGGGCATCTGTCCCCGACCTTGCTCAGGCAGTCTCAGGAGCAGCACGTTGCTGTCGGGGCCTTGAGCCCGCCCGGAGGATGGTCTCACTTTGAACTCGTAGTCCTGGCCCCACTGGAGGCCCTCAAGCTCTGCGCTCTGCCAGCCAGCCAGCAGGGCCTCTGCCCACGGGGCTCCCTGGCCTCCGGGGGCAGCTGGGGTCCTGAACAAGGCCGTGTAGGACTGAGCAGGTGCAGCAGGGCCGCTCACCTGGGAAAGAGCCCAGAGGGAGAGGAGGGCTCAGGGCTCTCGTGAGCAGCCCTTTCTGGAGCTGTGACGGGCTCCAGCCCAGGTCCTGGGCCTCACCTTCCAGCTGAGCCACACAGCAGGACCAGGCTTGGTGCCCTTCGCAGGGTCTGGGTTCAGCAGGGTCACGTTTTCCAGCTGAATGCGCACAGCCAGAAGCTCCAGGGGCTCCTTGTGGTCCTGGGGCTCTGTGGGGAGCACAGGGCTGGGGTGCGGCCCATAGGCCAGAACGGAGGAATTGGGTGGAACATCCCTCGGCCACAGAGGAGCCAGAACTCGCCCAGGTTGAGAGCACTCCGATTTCTATTCTAGGACGGGGGAACCACCCCTAAATGGGGTCCCCGCCGCTCTGACCCTGATCCCGGGTTCCGCTCCCACATCCTCTAACCTCAGCCAAAACCAGACCACACCACCCTAACTGGAGCCCCCGACCTTGGCCCTGACCGCCCTCCCCTTACCTTGGACAGACACCCTGGCTGCCCGGCTCTCCCGTCGTCCTGCACTGTTGGTGGCCACGCACATATAGGTCCCTGCGTCACTCTTCTCTGCTCTTGCCATCAGCAGGGAACCTCTGGACACCTGTCAGGACCAGGTGCGTTGTGAAGTGTCCCCTGCGGGGAGGGCCTCTGAGTGCGGAGGGAAGTCTAAGGCCTCACCGCCTCCCCTTCCTCAAATTCTGCAGGGGACATTGGGCCATGGGGCGGGTCAGTCCCTCGCGTGTGCACAGTTGTGGCCAGGACAGGGTGAGGCGTGGGGAAGGGGGCTACACTCACCGAGTGCCGCCCTGGCTGCAGGGCCAGGGGTTTCCCATCCTTCCACCATGAGACTGTGGGCTCTGGGTGGCCCCAGGGCGGCCCACACTGCAGAATCACCTGCTCGCCCACCGTGGCCACCGCGTCCCGAGGCTGGACCTGGAAATCTTCCCGAAGGACTGTGGGGAGGAGGGAGGGTCGCAGAGGGCGGGACCCAGTCTCCACATTCAGGTCCTGCCTTGGCGTCTCACAGCGTTCTGCATTACCTGCCTTTCCGAAGAGCCCTTCCTCCCCGGTCTCCTATCTAGGACCACCCCCAACCCAGGTCTCCCCGCCCAGGGCTCACCAGCCACAGACAGCCGAGCGCCCCGGCTGACTGCCGTGCCCAGCCGGTTGCTGGCCTCACACGTGTAGACACCCAGGTCTGTGGACAGGACCTGGTCATCGTGGGCACGTCCCCGGGGAGGGGGCCGCAGCAGCAGGAGGGTTCCGTCAGGTAGGAGGTGGTGAATGTCTGGGGGCACCATGCTCAGGGGATGCCCATTCAGCAGCCAGCGGATGGTGGGAGGTGGCTGGCCTGAGGCCTGGCAGCTCATCTTGGCCGGGCCAGGGCCCTGGAGCAGCTGGTCCTCGGGATGGACGAGGATCTGGGGTGGGGAGTCCTGAGCCATGCCTCCTGGGAGAGGAAAGGAGGTGCAGCCCAGTCTGACTGCAAATAGGGCCCCCAAATCCCTGCACGCCTCATCTTCCTCCTCTTGCCTGAAGATCAGTTCCCAAATAACACGCTAGCTGGGAGGGGAGAAGGCCAGCATGCGTGCGTGGCACCCAGGTGAGGGCCAGTGGAGCTCTCAGTCTGTCTGTCTCACACTCAACATCACCATCATCATCATCATCACCGTCGTCTCTGGTACCCCCCACTGCAAAAGGGAAGCAAAGGAGCAAGGGGGTCTCCTCGCTGCCTTGGCCAGGCCTCAGATCAACGGAGCGGAGCGTGGGCTAGGAGTAGGGAGGGCCACACTCACCTGTGACGAGCAGAAGCAGGAGGGGCAGGGGCTGACGGGCCCCAAGGAGGCCTACTCCTCCAGAGCCCATGGCTGCCCTCAGGCCTCTGTCCTTGTCTGTAGCACTTTGTCCTACTGCTCTGAGCTCACAGCGGAGGGAAGGAGGGGCGGGCGCGGCGGCAGTGGTGGTTGTTTGTGACCGAGACTCTGCCCCAGGAGGGAAGCGGCTTTGAGGAAACCGATGCTTCCTGCCTGGCCCTCAGTGCCTTGGAGAATTGGGAGGAGACCAGAGGAGAGAAAGTCTCTGACCTTGATCCTGTAGTCATAACCTCTGACTCGAAGCCCCGCCCTAGGGTTTATCTTGTGATCTAGTCCAGGATTTCTTAGCGGTAACCCTCAGCCCGACCATAACTTCAACCACTGTTTTGATCCTTTACCCCAAGCCTCTACTGAACCCTTGAATCTCAATCCCAATCCTTTGGCTTCCAAGCGACCCCCTGCTAGAGTGGCATGAAAACCCAGAGGTGGAATCTCAGGGCACAGTGTTCTGAAGCTGAGGGTAGAGGAAAGCAGGCCCCGGAAGCCAAGTGCAGGGAGCAAGTGTGTCTTGTCATGCCCCGGCCCATTTCCCGGGGAGAGGTCAGGGTGGTAGGTCAGAAGACAGGGAAGAGCACAGGCTCTTGTCTGGGAGATGTCCACTCTGTGCGCCTAGTCAGTCCAGAGACAGAGGAGATAAGCTTCTGGGAGACCTCGGGCAAGTGACTTAACCCCTGAAAGTCAGTTTCCTTTTTTGTAAAGTGAGAATAATAATAATTAATAATAATAATAGTTCCTACCTTGAGAGCTGGAGTAAGAGTGAGAGGAGATAAAGCATAAAACCATCTAGTACAGTGCCTAATGCATTGTAAGTGATCAGTAAAGCTTAGCCAATATTGTGATATATTTATTTTTATGCACATCCCATCATTGAAACTATTTGAGCATCCTTGGCAGGAATATTTTTCAGGCCCTGGAAAGGTGGTTGGAGTACATGACCTTTAAGAGTTTTTCCAGGGCTTCCCTGGTGGTGCAGTGGTTGAGAGTCCGCCTGCCGATGCAGGGGACACGGGTTCGTGCCCTGCTCAGGGAAGATCCCACATGCCGCGGAGCGGCTGGGCCCGTGAGCCATGACCGCTGAGCCTGCGCGTCCGGAGCCTGTGCTCCACGACGGGAGAGGCCGCAGCGGTGAGAGGCCCGCGTACCGCGAAGCAAGAAAAAAGAGTTTTTCCAGCCGTGAAACCTCGTGTCTATAGCAGACGGGACTGTAGCTTGTGAGCCTGCAATGTCGGTGCTCACCCCGCTGCTCCCCACCCCCTGCTAGAGAGATGCTGCTGTCCCCTCTCAGAGCCCAGCTCCTGTTTACGGGTCTCTTCCTTCCAAATCTGGAATCTCAGACATTTCCTGGAACTGTTCCCGGAAGGCCAAGGCCAGGCTCTGGAGGCTCAGCGGAAGAATGTCCAGCCTTTGTTCCCCATTGTTCCTGGCCAGCTCCTTTGTGGGGCCCCTAACCCAGCCGACTCCCTCCCTTCCTCCCCCTTCTCAGCCTGGCCTCGCTCGGTGCCAGCTGCAGCCACGGCCCTCACAGCCTATCAAGAGGAAGGCCTCCTTCACTCCTTCTTCTCTTTCCCCTCAGATGCAGACCAAGACTGATTAAGACAATTAGAGCAAGAGAACACTGTGGTCTCTCCAAACTGGGCATTTCCAAGGGGTAAAAAATTGAGTTAAAGTAACAGAGTGACAGAGGTGGAAGAATAGGAATTGGGGTCAGAGAATAGAGCTTGGTGTTTCAGAAGCGGAGAAACTAAGAGCAGTGACAGACTCCATGGCGCGTGCCTGGGCGTATGTGTGCCAGGCGTAGCGGAGTAGAATTTATGGGGTCAGGGATCTGTGGGGACAGAGTGATGAAGGAGGTATTCACATGGACCCTGAGGACAGCCAAGGGTGAACAAGAAAGGGCGTGGCGGGACAGATGGATTTACTGCACATCTAGCCCATTTGGGATTTCCCAGGTCCGGAGCCCCCCAGGCCTGCCTGACCCGGTGACTACCTGCGCCCCAGGAATGTTGCTGTTAGCAGTCCTCTTTAGTCTCTTCTGCTTATGCATTGGACTTGGGGAGACTAAACAAGTTCTCTGCTAATTATTTGCTGGCAGCTTGATTTGACTCAAATCTCTGTAATCCAGAAAGATGGTATAAATTTCCCTTGGGGGATAAGAGGGCAAGTCTCAAAGGAACTCAGATTCATGACTAGTGCTGTCCTCAGCTGAGTTGGAACGGGCAGGTGACTCAGCGAGGAGAGGCGCCGGTGCTGTACTGCAGGAATGGAGCCTGGAGGCTGCAGCAGCTGGGGAGGGGCCCTTGCCCCACAGTTACGTGACTCATCCCTGGACATGCCGTTGGCACAGCCTCTTTCCATTCCCAGACTCTGGACACCCAAGTGCTAAGAACTGATGGGGATTGGAAGGCCCCATCGTTCTGAGCTGTTCCTTAGGACGTTAAGACTCTTTCTCCTCGCTCAGTCCAAGCATCCAGGGCACTCAGGGATCCGTGGAGTGATGGCCGAGGGGACTTCCCAACAGTGAGGTATGTCTGGGTGGCTCTCAGAGACCACAGCGATCATTTCCAGCAACATGTCCCATCGGCATCCTGACTGTCTCATTTCCACACGCTAAGGAAGGGCCGACTGCGTGAGTCATGGGCATGACGTTAGTCCATGGGACCCGCCTCCAACTATTTCAAGGAAGCTCTGCTCTGGGACCCTGGGGATGTGCTGGCCAGTGACCAGTTTAAATACTATCTTCCTTCACCCCCTAGTTTTAGAGTTTTGGGTTTTTGTGAGTAACCCTTTCATTGCTTGTAAGAGGGAAGAGAGAGGAGAGAGATTAGATGCTCTTCAAGGACCCTCCAGAGGACATTTTTTTTCTCCTGGTTTCTCTGGCGTCTTATTCTGTGTTTTCTGAAAATGCAGCCCAGGGACTCCTGCTGGTCAAGCCGGTGGGGTAAACAGTACTAATTCAGGTGGGATTTGATGTCTCTTCGTATTTTCTAGAAAAGCATTAAAATCATTACCGGTGACATGTGCTCCTCGTGACTCGCAGCAAGGCTTTGCCAAAATGTGTGCTTGACCACAGCACCCTCCTTCACTAAAATCATATCCAACACTGAGCGTCCTCCTTGCTTCTGGAGCAGTCCCTCGGGGCTGTCTGAAGTGCTTTCTCCTAGGCTGCAGTCCTCATTTTGCCCCAAATAAAACTTAACTCACAACTCTCAAGTTTTGCATTTTCTTTTCAGTCAACAAGATCTTCTCTTTGTCCTTGGTATACTCTAGCTTTACTACATTTTATGTAGGTGTGGAAATCTTTTAAGATATCTTGTGTGTCAACCTTCTTGAATCTGTATATTCATGTTTGTCATGAGTTCTACAAAAATTTCAGTCATTACTCTTAAAATATTGTCTCTTCTCCATCTCTCTATTCTCCACTTTGAGCTCTTGAGGAAATGTGTGTCAGACCTTTTCATGCTACATGCCGTATCCCTTAATCTCTCTTCTCATATATTTCATCTCCTTGTCTGTCTGTGCCTAATTCTGAATAATTTCTTCAGGTACAACTTTCAGTTAACTAACTCTCTTCAGCTGTTTTTAATGTGCTGTTAAACTCTTTCATTTTTATTTCAATAAATTATATTTTTATGTATGAGTTCTATTTGTTCCTTTTCAAATTTGATCACTTTTGATAGTCTCTTGTTGCTTGTTCATTTTTGTAATTTTGTCTTGTATTACTTCAAGCATTTCATAATTATTTTATGTTTTATATCTGATCATTTCAGTGTCTGAAGACCTTGGGGGTCTAAATCTGTTGCTTCTTATATTTGCTGACTTTCATTCATGATGATTTGTTTCCTTCTGTGTTAATGACCTTTCCTTGTGAACTCGTCTTTGGTTGGTCTTAGTCTCTGAAAATTTAAGGAGATGTTTTTTTCCAGAGAGGATTTGTATTTTTTATTTTAGGAGCCTGGGATGCTACCAGCTGGGGGCCAATACCAATTTAATCCAGGAGTCTCAGGTTCAGCTCCCACACCTTGCCACTGGCACAAGTCTGGTCTTTCATCAGTGCTAATATAAACATTTGCCCTTGGGTAATCCACATTTTATGAGTGCTAAGAAGTCAGGACTCACCTTACACTTCTAAGCTTTTATATATGCTGCTCCTTCTGCCTGGAATATGTGTCCTTTTATCCTCCCCCCCACGCCCTATCTGATTAATCAATCTTTCTAAGACTAAGTTCAGGCTTGTTCTCCTCCAAGATACCTTTGCTGACGATCCCTAGTCTGGGTTAGATGCCGCTCTTACATGCCTCTATAGCACCCTGTATCTACCTGTCGTTGCATTTTCCACACTGTATTGTAATAATCTGTTTACTTATCTGTCTTCCTCCATGAGACTCTCTTTGGTAGGGGTCATGGCATAGTTATGCTGTTTCCCCAGTGTCGGGCACAGGGTGGATCATGGTAGATTAATACATGTCTGTTGAATAAATGAAAGACACCCGAATAAATGAATGAATGAATGAGTGAGTGATGATTTTGGAATGGACAATATGGGATTTCCAGAGAGGATGAAGGATGACGGAGGGATGTGAGAAGAAAAGAGAAAAGGGAAATGACTGGTATTTTTAGGCTGTTTGTTTGTTCTCCTTGATTAAGTGGAATAAAGTTGTCACTTTATTTCATCAAAAGTTTATTGAGCATCCAGTATGTGCTAGGCACTCTGCTAGATGCCAGTAATACAAAGATGAAGATCAAAATGAAACAAAAACAAAACCACTCCCCCCTCACCCCATTTAAGGCAGATTTGGCTTGAGCCTGGGAAGCCGGCCCCTCAGGGATGCAGAACCGGGGTTTGGAATACAACTTGCCTGCATCTCACCTTAATCTTCACCCTTGCCTCTCAAGGCTGACCAGCATGTACCCATCTCCAAGTCCTGCATCTTCCACCTGCCTGAACAACTTTCCCCTGCATGCATTATCTCCTTCTAGATGAGGCACCTGGGGAAGTAAGGGGAGCAGTTCTGGCTAAGGAAGGGGAGCTGCAAAGGCACACCTGCTCAGAGGAGCCTGCAGAAGTGCATAGGGGCAGGGAGCTGGGAAGGGCACGAAGTCCAGGTAAGAGCAGAGGGGACCAACAAGAAATGTTGTTGCCCTTGGGGCTGGGACAAAACTGGCCCCAGTGTGGAGTGGTGGGGAACAGGGACCTTGAGAGTCGCTCTGTGGGATGGTGCAGAGTCGGAGCAGGAGCTTAGGAAGTTAAGGAGGGACCAGGGATGCACTAGAGGCCTCAGGGGAGAGAGGTCAGAACACAGCGAGGGACTTCTTCTCTTTCAGCTTTTTAATTGCGCTCTCTCTTCGCACGGTAGATTACTGTTCCTACAAACTGTTCAAGAGGCGGCGGCATGGGCGTGGCCTGGGTACACAGTGGACCAACCTCTCGGTACTCTGCTGTTTGTGTGACTGGGGAGTCTGCCCTTGTCCTGTCTCCTGGGACCTGAGCATCTGGGAGCAGGCCAGGTGAGAGGCCAGAGGCCAAGGGTTCCATCATGTCTCCAAGACATGCTGGGGAGCAATAAGCCTCCTCCTCCCCCTACCATTTTTGGGGAGAGTGGAACTTCATCCTCTTACAGCTGGAGGAAGCCCAACAACTTTCCGGGGGATAATGATTGTTTGAAAGGCTTGTTTTGGACAAAGCCAGGGAGAAGCCATAGGTATGAGGGGTCAAAAGACAGATCTTCACTTGATTTAGCCTTCTGGGCCTGAAGAATGAGTGAGAAGCCCCTTCTCTATGGAACAGAGATGGAAAGAATGCCGGGCACGCCGCTGAGGGAGGCTTTGGGAGGAGGCCAAGCGTGGGAGGCTTGAATCCTTTGCTCTTGCTAGAACCCCGGTAGCGGGGCAACGGAATGTATTGTACTTGAGCTCCTCCTTCACCAACTGGTAGGTACCGAGGTACCATATGCCTGAGAAGGGTGCTCCAAGGTACTGCCTTCACAATGATTCGCTGGATGCTGAGAACAGCCCTCTGTACACCCAGTAAAGGGCATTGGACTTCCCCTTAGTTTAGGACAGTTGTACGTTTGAGGCAAGTGGCCTCTCTAATCTGGGCTTGCCAAAAAAGTTCCCCAGGAATCAGGAGTTTGTTCGGAGGGAAGGGTAATGGGTGGGAAGCGTGAGGGCGCCCTAGGAAGGGCATAGGATAGTCAAGGGGGTTAGGTTACTGATGTTAGTTTCCATAAGCCCCTCCGGGGATTGGGCCGTAAATTTAATAATCTATATGGTCCTAAGAGGGCACAACCCACACCCACTGAGAACACAACTAAAGAGCCGGGAGCAAACGTAACCCGGTTTCACCACCTGATCCACCCTCCGCCTTCCCGCCGCGTCCCCCATCTGCGCATGCTCACAATCGTCCACGCGCCGGAACCCTAGCGCTGAGTGAGGACCTCCATCTCCCCTCGCCCCTCGCCCCTCGCCCCTGGCGGGCTGCTGCCCCACTGCCCTGCCCTCCCCCGGGCCGCGGGCAGCAGTGCGCGGGCGCCTCCCGGGGGGTCCCGAGGAGGCTCAGGCGCTGATCTCCACCGGGCCGGCCTCGTCTTGCTCGCGGATCAGGTGCACGCCGCCCGCAGTCCGCAGTGTGCGCGAGGCGCTGCGCGAGCGGCCGGGCGAGCTCGGGGCCCGGGGCGGCGACGTGTGCGTCCGGCCCGTGGCGGGGGAGCGCGCTGGAGAGCGCGGATAGCGGCGGGCAGAGCGGCTGGGCAGCCCCGGCGAGCGGCCCGGCACGGCAGGCGACACGGAGTAGCCGGGCGGGCCGGGCTCAGTCGCGCTCCGAGGCTCCGGGGCGGGGTTCTCCTCGGGCTCCGGAGAGTCCTGCAAGGACACGTGCCGCGAGGGGTCAGCGGACAGCCGGCCAGGGCTGGGAGCGCGCCTGCTGTTCCAGGGCGCTGGGAATACCGAGGTGGAGGGGACATAGTTCCCTCCACACTCCGACTGCCTGGAGGGCTGCAGGCGTAGGTCTGTTTTTGCTTGCAACGCAGGACACTTGATGTGGTGCCTGGCACATAATAGGTGCTCATTAAATGTTGAAATGCATTAGTTTGAGTGCTTTGTCCACTTACTCTGCACCTTCCACCTGCCTTGGACAGCATGGGACAGAGTTGGTTTATGGAATAGTAGGGAAATAACCAGAGACAGTGTCCAAAGACCTGGGTTTGAAGCCTAGATTTGCCACTGATTTACTTGTTTGATCCTGGGCAAGTCATTTCACCCCTGTCAGCCGTATTTTTCTCATCTCTAAAGTGGGGATGACACAAATATTTCTTAGGGTTATTCTGAGTCCTAGAAAGGTATATCTATATGGTATGGCTACGTAATACCAGAACATGGTAAGGGCTGGTGGAGTGTTTGTGGGGCGCCCAGCCCGAAGCTGCTCACCTTGTCCTTCAGGATGTAGAGTGCCATGGGGTTCTTCCGCTCCTGCTCTCCACTCCGTGGGAGGGTGTCTGCTGCACGGAGCAAAGAATGGGGTGGCTGGCCCAGGTACAGAACCCTTTCCACCAGCCAGCACCTACACTCTTTGCTTCCTGATGGCCAGGTAAGGCCATCGGGAAGCCAGCCTCCACCAAATGGTCTGGAATACCTGAGGTCCTACCTTGGCCGCTCCTCTCCCTGCTCTGCAGTCTTCGTGCAGTTGGTGCAGGAAGGGGCCCTGCAGAGCTGGCTTCCTTGTCGCCCATTTCGGCCTTTTCCCAGCAGCTTACTGATCTGAGTGAAGATGGGACGGGTGAGTGCGTGGCTGGGAGCTCACCTTCTGCTTTCAGGCGGTCATCATTCTGATCCATATATTCCAGGGAGTTTTGCTTCTCCAGCTTCCTCTTCTTCCTGCAAATCAACCCAGCACCCTGTGAACAGAGCTGTCGAGTGTGAGCAGGAGAAGTTCTGGGGGCGAGGACACTGGGGGGATCTGATGGCCACAAACGAGGCCTTGTAACAGGAAGACGGGCTGAGTGCGGTGGGAGGGGGAGTAGTCCAGAGCTTTGGGATGCATCCCATCTAGGTTTGCCTCCTGAGTCCGTCCCTAGCATTGTGACTGTGGGCTAGTCATCTAACTAATCCGAGTCTCAGGTCGTTGTCTGTAAGCTGCAGATAATCACATTTAAAGGTAACACCCTAACCACAAACACAGTGCCTGGCTCACAAAAGGTGCCGTGTAAGTGAAACCAGCATTCATCGTGCTGGGGTTGTCAGGGTTGTGAGCACAGAATGTGGTAAGATGGATCTCCTGGGAAGAGGTGCGGGGCCCTGGGAGGAAAGGCGTTTAAAGAGACGAAGGAAAAACAGAGCTTGGGGCTGGGATGGGTTGAAGGATTCAGGTGCTCAGGGAGAGGAACTTGGAGAGTTACCCAGACTTTCTGGACGGTTTCCAGCAGGCACAGACTGTCACCAAGGTCACAAGGAGGAAGATGCCTCCTGTGGACAAGATTATGTAGAGGGAGCTTCTTCCTAGGGAGAGAGAGGCAGAGAGTGGGGAGAGACTTCAGAGGGGGCAGGAGGTGTGGTGAGGAGAGCTTCCTGCGGCCGAAGAAATAGAAAAGGAACCCCAGGCAGCATGGCTGGCCAGTGGTGGACCTTGCCCAGAGCTCACTTCCTACCTGTGGCTGTCCTCCAGGGAGAGCTGGCCCATCTCTGCCTCTCTCCCCCTCCAG